GTGCCTGGCTTGGCTCCAAGCATGGGCCAGATTCAGCACGTCTGGCCCTTGGAGGAGGCCGGCAGCCTGAGCACCCCAATTCCTATGTCCCCAGAGTGAGGTCTGAAATGAGGGTCGCTGGCTGCATGTGAGCGGCCCAGCTGACACTGCCCATCGGAGACACTGCCCATCGGAGTAGCCCCGGCTATGGGGTAACTTGGTGGGATCTGGAGGTTCAGCAGGTGGAAGGAGTATCCCCAGAGCAACACGCCCGTGGCCGAGTGTGTGCCGAGGGTCCCGCCTGACCCTCCTGCTCTCACACCTGTCCTAGGGCTCTCGGCTCCTTGCTACTTGGCCTCCCTGCGGAGCGCACCTCCACTCCCTGATCCCTGAGAAAGCCTCGTGCATCGTAAGACAACCGATCGGGGGAATGAAGTCAGAGCATGACGTGGCCCGGAAGGGACAGGAGCCTGCTGGGTGGAGGGCAGGGTGAGCCCGGGAAGCACATGGCTGATGCACAGCAGGAATGTTCACTGAGCACCTGCTGGGTGCTGGGCTCTGTGCAGAGAGTGCTTCATGAAACATGTCACACTTGGCAGAACTGTCCCTGGTAGCAAGTTCAGCCCCACCACTTCTTGCAGAAGCAAAGGCTTGGAGTTAAGTAACACGCCCAAGTTCCTGGAAGAATCAGAACCTGGGTCCAGACAGGTCGAGAACCCAAGCTCCATCTGCAAGTGTTTATGAAGGGTTGAGAAAAGGCCTAGACGTGGAGCACTGGCCTTGCCCTCATGGGGCCCCCACGTCACAGACATCCTTTGAAACTGTGGACGGCACGGGGTCTAGGCTCAGCCCCATCCCACAGCTGAGCAAGCTGGTGCTCAGAGATGAGTGTTACTGCTGAGGTCACACGCGGTGTCTGGTGGCGCTGGGAACCCCAACCCTTCTGCTGTCTTCATGCCCACCCCCTTTCTGCAGCACCCCTTGTAAACTACCACAGGGTCTGGCGTTTCCAATTCTTTAATCCTCAAGCAAGAGGCCTCCCTTCTTCTCTGCCTGAGCCTCACCACCCCTTGGCCTCGGCCTGTACCGGCGACATTTCCCCAGCGGCTCCTGTTCGGCCTGTCCACCTGCCTTCTGTGAGGGCCACCTGGGAACCTGGGTAGAGAACGGCTCCAAGACAAGGCTGGCTCTTGGGAAACAAGACACCCACACGGGATCATCCCATTTGCCTCCCAGCCCGAGCTGGGGATGTCGGGCAGCACACGGTGTGGCGCTAAGAACAGACAGACGGGCAGCCGCCTGGGGAAATCAGCCAGCAGCATAAAGTTAATTCAGCGAAATGAAGGAGCACCCACCCACCAGCCCACAGGACCCAGGCCTGGGAAGAAAATGTGCCAGCAGGACCTCCTGGTCCTGACCAGCTCCTGGGAGGCCGAGGGTGTCCTCCTGGGAAGTGCCTGCCGCTCACAGCCCCTGGGGTGCCAGGGCCAGGATGCCGGCTGGTGCGAGCATCTGCCAGCCACAGTTCAGTGTCAGGGAGCCACCTGTAAAGCTGCCCAAAGTCCCGCTTCCTCAACCAAAGGGGCACATCTTCTCCTTATGACCACCTACGTCAGGGTAGCTCTTTATACAGGCACCAGGGAAGGGTGGACAATCCTACTGGTTCACAAGGGTGTGGGGGGAGTGCAGGAGGGGCTATCATAAATCATAACGCACCTGCGGTGCACACAGGTGCCAGGGCACACCTGGCCTCACATCCTGGCTTAGCTACTTAGTGGCTGTGTGACTGTGGGCAAGTCATTTAACCTTTCTGAGCCGTAGTGTCCTCGCCTGGAAAATACCTCTAACCTCACAGAGTCATTACGGGAACTCAGAAGCCCATTTTCTTTCTCCCTTTAGAAGCCTGATATTCAATGTGATATGCCAAATTAGAGATAAGAACACAGGAAAAAAAAACAGGTACTTCCAAATCTCAGACCCTCCCCAGCTGCAAATTCTAAAAGGAAGCAGCCTGCAGCTCCCCACCCCTCCCAGGACCTGCAGATTCTCTCCTGACTGGTGATGTAGAGGGTGCTTTCCCACCACCTCCAATATGCATGGTGCCCATGTGGGCAAATCATCACCCCTGCTCTTATACAGACCCTCAGAGGTCATGAGACCCTTTCTGTCTCACAACGACATGGTGGAGGGGCCACAGATCCTGAGACACTGTCCTCAGATGATGGATACTTGGCAAAGAAATAAGGGCTTCCCACATCAAAGCCACTGGTAAGTGGAGGGCAGGATTGAACCAGGTTGGGGGACCGCCCTTCTAGCATCCTTTCTACCACACTGGGGATTGTAGACTGGGTTGGGCAGCCTGAGGATACACCGAGGAGGATGCTCAGGCTGCAATCAGCTCAGAGTTTGAGCACCTGATTGATTAGTGATGCCTGCTCCTGGAATGGTGGGGGCGGGGAGCATGAGCGTGGGCACCTGTCTGTCATACTGGGCTGGCCACCACCCCCCTTCCCACGCATGGGATGGAGAGAAGGTGCATGCGAGTCAGACTCACAACCTCTTAGAAGGCATTAGCTTCTTTCTCCTCTTACAGCTGAGGTACCCGAGTGATCCCTCTCACTGAGCAGGGATCACTGAGGCCAACAGGGCCAGATGCTGGTGGGGGAGAGGGTGGGTGCAGATAAAAGCCCTCCTCTTCATGAAGCGGCCAGCCCCTACATACTCCCTGTTCGGTCGCCCCAAGACCCTGACCGTGGGTCAGCACGGAAAGAAGCCTATGATAACAGATGCGGGACAAGGGCTGGGCTGCCAACTCCCAGGTAACATCTGATTTTCCTCACTTCCCTAGGATAGCCGCCTCCAACGATCTGAGGAGCAAGAAGGTATTTCTCACCAGGTATCTGACGGCAGGGTGGGGTTGCTGAGGGCAGACTCAGCACTGTATGAAAAGCTGAGAGGAAAAGGACTCACACATTCGCTTCCCAGGAGGGCAATGCCCTCACAAGAGAACAGTCGGCAGAGGAGAAAGAGTGGGTGTCCTAGTAGGGAAGGGTGAGCTGGGCACAAGAAGGAGTCTGGGCAGGAGCAAATCCTGCATCTGGTTAGGGAGGCCAAAGCTTTGCACTCCTTCAGAGTCCCTGAGCCGGGTGAGGGGCTGAACCGGGGGCAGGGTGCCGCTGCTGCTCCAGGAAAGGAGATCTGAGCCCCACCACTCCCAGGCTCCAGACACCGGACAGCTGGGTGTGGGGACCCTGGGAGGTGCCAGGGACCCACTCCTGGCTTCTCAAGCTCAGAGACTGCTTCTGTTTGCCCGCTGGCCGGACTCTAGCCACAAGTCGTGTGCTTTGGGTGTGCTGGCACCCAGCCAGGGTGGCCCTCGTTCCCACCCTGTCGTAAAAAGGGGGACCAGGTCCAGCGGGAAGGAGCAAGCACAGTCCAAGCCATGTGGTGGGTGAGTTCACGCCAATGTTGGCACTGGATCTCTATGTCGGCCTGGCTCCAGGGTCTGGGCCAGCCCGGAGCGTGGACTGGAGGGGACACCTCCCTCCCCTGTGGCCCTGGCCCACCAGGAGAAATCTGACCAAGCCCCTCGCTCATGGTCAAGCCTGATGAGATTCTGGGCACATGGGAGCTTTCTGCTCAGCACTCAGGTACCACTTCCCAAGAGGAGTAGGGAGGACAGATCTGAGGGGCCTGCCTGTCAGCCCAGGTGGAGGAAGAAAAGAAACCCCGACTGCGGGAGGCTGAGCCCTCAGTGCCGGGCATCTGGCACGTGAACCGGAAGAAAGAGGAGGAAGTGGCTTCCAGGGGCAGCTACCGTCAGGCTCACTGCCGGCCGTGTCCCGCCGGGGCCATAGAGCTCCCGTGCCTGCACAAGAGCCCAGCGGCAGCAGGTCAGCCTCCCTCGCCTTGGTGCTGCTCACACTGCTGCTGGACACCGGCCTTTCTGACTTACGCAACTCTGCTCTCTCACCAAGTGCTGCCCACCGGGATGGCACCGGCCCAGCGCCTCAATGGGCCCCTGCCAGCAGGGTCAGAGGCAGCAAGAGGCCACCGGGGCGGACGGGCTGGGTCATGCATTCTTAGTCCCTCTGTTCTCTACCCTCTTATCGATGATGAGCAGGGAGATAAAGGCCAGGGGTGGCTGTCAGTGAGGGAGGGAGGAGGAAGGAGGACCCAAGGAGAACCCAAGGAGAAGACAAGCAAGCCCACAAACTGCCCGTACCCCCCTCTTCCTCCTTTTTAAATCCTTAAATCTGGTCATATGGGTTTCCCACACTATCTGAAAGTTTGCTTTTGCCAAACATTAGTACTTGTTTCAGTAACCAAAATAGATCTGAAGAAGATTTTTCACTTTTACAAATGGTGAAGGCTTCTTAATTTTACACCATTTCAGCTTAAAAAAGATTTCATAGGAATGTTCTACCTTTGGGTATCAGGGGAAACCTGGAACTGTTTTTTTTTTTTAAGATTTTATTTATTTGCGAGAGAGAGAATGAGAGAGCATGAGAGGGAGGAGGGTCAGAGGGAGAAGCAGACTCCCCGCTGAGCAGGGAGCCCGATGCAGGACTTGATCCCGGGACTCCAGGATCATGACCCGAGCCGAAGGCAGTCGCTTAACCAACTGACCCACCCAGGCGCCCTGGAACTGTTTTTAAATGAAAGAACACTCAGGAGGAACTAGGTCTTTCCAGGCAGACAAAATGACATCCTCCTTCTCACCGGTCTCCTCAGCTGGGGTCCCCGAGCTGGCAAGGGTGTAGGGAAGAGAAGGGGTGCCCTGGACACAACCGGCCACACTGGAAAAAGAGGTGGCCAAGCGAGGCGAGCAGCCCTGCAACTCCACCCTGACACCCTGCACAGGGGATCGGGTTTCAGGGTCAAAGACCCTAAAAGGTACCACATTTCCTGTGTTAGGCTGAACGGCAGGCACAGGTGGCTGAGGACAAGAAAGGGGCTCCGACGTCCCCCTGCCCGGTGGGGCAGGCTGGCAAACCCAGACCATCCCCAGCCTCGCTCACCTCTCCCTTCTTCACGGTCATGGACTGCCGGCGGGGCGTGATCTCCTCGTTGATGCTGGACAGGAAGTTCTGTGAGATACGGAGGGCGTCCTGCAGCAGAGGGTGGTCGGGGTGGCTGGAGGGCGTGTGCTTCAGCAAGTCCTATGTCAGGCGAGAGGGCTCAAGTCAGAAAGAGCATAGCCCTGGCGCCACCACGGTGTGCAAACTGCAGACACACGCCAGGCAAACTCAGGACACCTCGTGGACAGGCCGGGGCTAGGCGCACAGTGCTTCTGTGAGCACCATCCCAGAAGCAGGTCCAAAACCTAGACGGTGCTCCCACAAGTCCGTGCTGTGTGCACAGGGGCTCCCACTCTCGGGGTCTAGGGCAGGGTTTGTCCACCTGGGCCCCAGTGACATCCTGGGCTGGATCATTCCTTGTGGTGGGGGCCGTCCTGTGCACTGTAGGCCGTCAGCCCCCCACCCCTGGCCTCTACCCACTAGATGCTGGCACTCCTTTGCAGTTGTGACTTTGCAGCTGCGACAAGAAACAAAGTCTCCAACATTGCTGCATGTCCCCTAGGGGGCAGAACTGGCCTCGTCCAGGACCACTGGTCTATGCAAGCTCAGGAGAATGCACCTGGCCTTCCCCGCTCCTCCTAGAGAAGAGACTAGACCTCTTTAGAATACAGATGGAAACACTGACTCCTTCTCCACTAGGAATGCATGTAATTCGTGCTCAAGGTCAATAGCTCGTTGGTTCAGAAAAACGAACTCCCGTTAGCTTTCAAATCTCCCGTGCAGAGAACGTGCAGAGATGAAATAAGCCTGGAGGAAAGCTCTGGTGCCCATGGTCCCAGGACCCCCACGTCATCCCTGGGCGGCTCTGGCTTCTCCCTGTCAGGACGCTCAGAGAGGGGACAGGATAAAGGTCTCTGAGACTCCGTCCAATGGGCCACCAGCCAGAGCCGCCTTTTTTTTTTTTAAAGATTTTATTCATTTATTTGACACAGAGAGGGAACACAAGCAGGGGGAGTGGGAGAGGGAGAAGCAGGCTTCCCGCTGAGCAGGGAGCCCGATGCAGGGCTCGATCCCAGGACCCTGGGATCATGACCTGAGCTGAAGGCAGACACTTAACCAACGGAGCCACCCAGGTGTCCCCCGCCAGAGCCTTCTAAACCATGCCTCTCATCTCCCTCTTTATCAGAGGGTAGTGAGGAATTATGAAATGTGCACTCGAGGGGCGCCTGGGTGGCTCAGTCGTTAAGCGTCTGCCTTCGGCTCAGGTCATGATCCCAGGGTTCTGGGATCAAGCCCCGCATCGGGCTCCCTGCTCGGCGGGAAGCCTGCTTCTCCCTCTCCCACTCCCCCTGCTTGTGTTCCCCCCACCTCTCTCTGTCAAATAAATAAAATCTTTAAAAAAAAAAAATTTAAGAAACGTGCACTCGACAGAATACTACACAGCTTAAATACTATGGGGCAGAGTTGTTTGGGCTGAAGTGGGACAATCTCCACTGCATCATATTAAGGGGAAAAAAGGCAAAGTGTGGAATGATACATATAGCATGATGCCTTCTGCGTAATCAAAAAAGACTCTCACGTATGTTGGCGTGTGCATAAAAGAATACTTGTGGTGGTGGTGGTGGGGAGGAAGCAGGGAAGGAAATGGAAACCACACACTTCTGTGACTTGGTTGTAAATTAAAAAAAAAAATGCATTTACAACTTGCTCTAAATGTAAGTGAACAGGGTCACATGGGCGGTAGGACTAGGGGCCAGTTTCGTTTTCCCTGCTGTCTTCAGGAGCAGCCCCACTGAGGCGGGCCCTCCCCACGCTCCCTCTCCCCAGGCTGGGAGGCAGTGGGTCATCCTCAAAGCCATGGAAGGCACCTGCTCTCTGTGCCCCCACTCCGTCTACCTTGGAGGCCTTCTTAGGTGGGACAGGACGCTCCCTCCCGGTACCTCCCCCTCCAAGAGCACCCAGGACACCTCGAGAACCTGCTTTGTTCTCCCCTCACCCCTGTGTGAGCCTCTCATTTCTGCATCTTCAATAAAGGTGTGTGGCAGGAACAGGGGGAAAGGGGCAGGCAACACTGACGAACATCAGAAGCCAAGAACCCCAGGGTGAGAAGGTCCCAGGTGGGTGACTCACATGCAGGACCAGCGTGCTGCGTGTCACCCGGTCCACAGGCTTGTAGAGCAGGGCTGCAGAGAGATGGCCAGGGTGAGAGGTGGCCACGCACGGAGAAGGCAGCCCCAGACCACCCGCCTGCCTGTCCTCTCGGCAAGTGCTCGGGCAGGGGGAGCGGCCCAACTGCCACGTCCTCTGGGAATGTCCATACCCAGGGACAAGGGCAAACTCTGAGCACCTAGAAGGCCAGGCACATGGCTTTGAGCTTTTGGTTCGTGACAGTAAATGCTGAGTACAGAGCTACTGGTCAGAACCCAAGTTGACGCCCCTCCCCCTGGAGCTGGGGAGCCCAGCAGCACCCTGGTGCACATGGGCTGGCAAGGGTCCCAACCGTGGCAGGAGACCTGCTCTCTGGCCTGAAGGGTCTCCTGGGAGCAGACCAGCACATCACTCGCGATGTCCATCCCTGCACAGTTTGGAGGCCCGACTCTGAGGATGGCAGAAACTAACTCAGGGGCCCACAGAGGTCCTGGCTTTATGAGTGTTTTCAGACGCCTGGCCTCCAGCAGCACGGGAGCCCTGGCCAGCCCGGGCAGCCCCCGCTCCTCCATGAGGATGGCGAGCCCAGCACATCACGGGCACAGGCACTCAGATGTGTCCTGACATACACCAGGTGCATTTCCTCACGGGACTCCCACAACTACTGTAAGACATGCATTGTTACCCCAATTTTACAGACGAGAAGCCGAGACCCAGAGCACGGTGAAGCTCTGCCATCTCTGTAACTCTTCGCACTACCCTAACAACTACAACTGAGAAGTGACCTCTCAGTCCACCCAGACTGAAGGGACTGGACACACGGGCCTGGGAGCCTGACAACTCTGACTTTCCCCCTGCCTCGCCACTTAGGACCTGTGTTCCAGCTCAGTTACTTTCATTCCCAATCTGTTTTGTCACCCGAAAAAAGGGAAAATAAAATCCTCCCTACAGGGCTGTTGGGGACAATGTGATGACATTTTAAATGGCCGGCAGTGCCTGGTTTGTGGGTGTTCACAAACCCCTGCCATCCTTCCTGGTTGCTTCTGTTGGTGGCAGGCTGGTCCCGACCATGTCCTTCCCCACCCCACCATGCCCAGTGCCGCTTTTTCCCTGTCCCCGCTCTCACTATTAGAAGTCTGGAACAGCAAAGGCACCAGAGGGTGACCCAACCGGGTGCCGTGTTTGCTCTTCCAGCAAATGCCCCATCGGCTCACAGCAGCCGCGCCCACAGGGAGCACGAAGAGGCCTCGGCACAGAGAACTCACTTTCCAAAGAGTTCTTGGTCGTCTGGTCCTTGGCATCCTTGTTGCTTCTGGCTCTCAGGTTCTGCAAAGAGAAAAGCACGTTTTCACATGGGACAACTGAGGCAGCACTGATGTGGCAGCAAGTTCCGTGGCCAGACACCTTCTGCAGAAAACTCATCCTTCTCTCACTCAACAAAACCTTAGAGGAGGCAACAAGTCTAAGGGGGCGTCCTGGACCAAAGCGTGGAATACAGGGTGGACGGAACACAAAGCCTGCCCTGGGTGCCGTGGTTCACCTGGGACTGCTGACATTCGGGGCCAGAACTTCGCTTACCATGAGGGCCCGTCCTGTATGCCACAGGACACCGAGCAGCACTCCTGGCCTCTACCTACGGGTGCAGCAGCGCACCCCCCTGCTGTCGTGACAATCAAAAATCCCCAGGCATTACTAGGCTGTCTGCTGGGGACAAAATCACCCCCCGTCGATAGCCTCTGACATACAGAATCCTATGAAAATAAGGCAAACCACCGTGTCCTTCCTAAATGCATAGAACTGCTTTCTCAGAGAAGTTAAACAGTGTGCAAGGGAGCTGGTGGGCTGGAAGAGCCCTCACCTCTGGAAATGGCCTGGGTGGGCCCCCCACCACTGAGACCCACACTGGATCTGCCCTCTACCCCACCCGCTCCTGACTTTTCGCAAATGTACAGGCCCACCTCGGAGATATTGTGGGTTTGCTTCTGGGCAACCGCAATGAAGCGAATATCGCAATAAAGCGAGACCAATGCATTTTTTTGGTTTCCTAGTGCCTATAAAAATTATGTTTACAGTATACTATAGTCTCTTAAGTGTTCCATAGCACTACGTCTGAAAACAATGTACCTACCTTCATTAAAAAATATTTTATTGCCAAAGAATGCTATCATCTGAGCTTTCAGCAAGTCATAATCACCACAGATCTCCAGGAATATAATAATAATACAAAAGTTTGAAATGTTGCAAGAATTACCAAAATGTGACAGAGAGAGCAAATGCTGTTGGAAAAATGGCACCGACAGACTCGCTCAACACACGGCTGCCACAAACCTTCAGTCTGTAAAAAAATGCAGTATCTGCAAGTGCAATAAAGCAAGGTAGACCTGTAGTTTCTAACTACAGATAGGCGCTATGATCCCCAGGAGGAGAGCAGAGCTTTTTAGTGGGTAGGTCATGTTTTCACACAACTGCATCAAAGGCATCATCGATTGGGTCCAAGGTACCAAGAGAAACCAGGATGTAAGATCCCTGTGTACCTGAAATCATTTCCAGGAAGAAGCTATGGTTAATCCAACTACCAGGCTGCTGAACAACAAGAAACAGCACGGGGATGGGAAGGGGCTCAGAGATGGCTTTCCCAACCTCTCGTGCTGCAGTAAACCTCTCACGCTGCAGTAAACCCCTCACAACTAAAAAACGATGGTGTGTAGAGCTCACTGGGGCCAAACTCCACAATGCACTTTGGTGCCTCTCTTGAGAGTTTAATGCTCCTCACAGTGATTACTCTTCTGTACATCTGCCTCAGCGGTTCCCAAGGGGGGTGGGGGGTGTGAGGGGGCGTGAGAGCTGAACACGAGTCTTGGCAAAAATCAGGTTCCATGCTCCCGTGAGCCTGGGAGGCAGCCCTCCTACCACGTGCCCCTGGGCAGCGCCACGCACACAAGCGTGCAGAGGTAGGTCCAGCAGTCCTGCCTCCAGGAGACTTATGAATTTGGCTTAATCCTACAGTTCTCAAACAGCTTGGCCCCAGAGGCCCTTTTGCCAGAACTCTCAGTGTCTATTGTGTGGGAGCTGGCATTCCACGGAAACCAGCTTGGGCAACTCTGGTCTAACTGGACGCTCGCTGCCCTGGCTCATTTTCAGCACTGGGAGCAGATGAAGGGCCACCCCTCCACTGCTCCCTGTCCTGGAGGTGACCATCCAGTCCCCATGCCTGAGCTCTGACCCCCAGAGTGCAACCTCTCACGTGCTGCTTCCGCTTCCTTCGGTTTCATTTTGCTCTGTCTAGGTGGCTTCAATCTTTTGGGTCTCCTTTAAAAACACGGGTGGATGGGGTGCCTGGGTGGCTCAGTTGGTTAAGCGACTGCCTTCGGCTCAGGTCATGATCCTGGAGTCCCGGGATCGAGTCCCGCATCGGGCTCCCTGCTCGGCAGGGAGTCTGCTCCTCCCTCTGACCCTCCCCCGTCTCATGTGCTCTCTGTCTTTCTCATTCTGTCTCAAATAAATAAATAAAGTCTTTAAAAAAAAAAAAAAAAGAACACGAAGATATTTAAAAAATAAATAAATAAATAAATAAAATAAAAAATAAAAACACGGGTGGAGAACCAAAGTGGATGCCGCCTCCAGGTACAAGCTTCACGGAGGGCCAGCTGAAAGCTGTCTCCCTCCCAGCACCCCTGCCTCAGCTCAGGTTCCCAAGGGACCACGGGACCCCTGGGTGGTGTCTCACCATTGCTTCCTCCCTCCTCTATAGAAACCTGTCCGGGTGGACTTGAACTTGGCCCCCTTTAACTGTAGCCTGCTCTTAAAGGATTAGGTCTCTACTCTGTCAAGGTGACTCTGGATTCTGCACCAAAATCCCAGCTGTTAGGGGTGGGGGGGCTTGTTAGAGTGAATGAGCTAAAAAGAGGTATGGCCCACTGCTCCAGGCAAGCCAGAGCAGACAGGGAGGGACGTCTGGAGCCAGCCTAGAACACTGGGTGCATGTAGCCTGTTACCAGCAGCACCAGGCAGGGAGTGCATGCCCCCACGGGCTCTGGAGGAGCAGCATGGCACCCATTACCACCACGAGAGACAATCAGCATCCACGACACCCCACCTCTTATGACAAATTACAAAATGGCACAAAGCCCCCAGAACAAAGCCAGGTATGACAGTCGGGGTATGACCGTCTCTCAGCAAGGGAGACCCCACTCACTTCCTATGTCTAGTTTCCAGTTATCTTTCGTATGCTAATTTCTCTCATGGAATCTTTCCACCCAGAATCCTTGTTTGGTGGAGGGAAGGCAAGTCAGAGCTCTGAGAAGCTGGAGGCATCACAAGTGATGATAGGCCCCGAAAGAGGAAAATGTCACCCAACTGCCCAGGGCAGAAACAGGATGTGGAAGGCTGGGGAAACCCCTGCCAGGGGCCTGGAGAGGTGGGTGCTGCAGGTTCTGGTCCAGGGGTGGCCTGCTTGTCCTCTCTGTATCGAGGTGCTCTTTAGAGGTCCCTCATGCTAGCACTCTGGGGCTTGAAGTTTCAGTCCTCATGGAGCTCCAGCCTGGGGCCTGCTTCAGTTCCACACCCCTGTACTAGCTGCTCAGCTTCCCCGGCAAGAGAGGTCCCTAGCACACCTCCCCGGCTGCTTTCCAGCGACCGGGTGCCTAGTCAGCCTCAGCACTCTCACGTCCAGACCTCCGCTAACGAGACAGAACTACGGACACTCATTACGGCACACAGATGGCGCAAGAGAGCGTCTGTCTGGGGCACTCGGCAGAGCCCCAGAATTGGGCCCTGGCCCTTGGGGAGGTCGCTGTGGGACTGCTCCTCCTGCGTCCCCTGCACAGGGCTGACAGAACCAACCCAGAAGCATCTGGAAACAGAGCGGAGATTTTCAACCAGAACTTGGTTTGGTGCACCTTGTTCTCCCGGGTCATGACGTACCAACGACCGGCCCACGTCCCACCCGGGGGTGGTGGAGGGGTGCACCTGTCTCAACAGTGTCACGAGTACCTCAGAGATTTCTGCAAACTGAGCGTTGGCCTGACAGCACTTCTCAGCCGTTTCCATGGCAACTCCGTAGTTGTCTACAAAGGCTCGGTACACACCCAGCTGGCTGGCCTGCAGGGAGGAAGGGAGAGAGTGTGGGACAGGTGCAGGACAGGTGCTGTTGCTCCCTGTCTTTCCGAGAAATGGGCTTCTGTGCCCAGCTCCGGGAGAAACCGCAGGTGCAGCAGACAGCACAGGGCTGCAATCACCTCCGCTCTTCCTTGCGGTCGGTCACCTCCCACCTGCTTCCCCTCCCCACGCACTGAGCATGCTTCCCCCTTCCAAGTGACGTGTTGAGAAGTGACTCACAGCCCCCGGCAGGTAATGACTCCCTTGCGCAGCTGCTGATTCCTCCCACCCTATTCATATACACAGTGCCACCAGCAGTGGCTAAAATCCAAGTCTGTCCGCGAACGCAGACAAGAGTCGACATGGGTGGGATGGAGTGGCACCTTCTCATTCTGGCCGCAGGAGACTATAGTGGACCGGGAGGTCGGCCTCCGGCCTAGGACGGCCACAGTGCTCCACTCTTGCCCGATCCCTTCAGACACATGAGGACCATGCAATCTAGCTGCCCCTGGAGCAGAGGGGCTCCCACTGTCTAGGCATGAGCCCAGCCCAAACCTGGCAATGGGGTCCAGCTATCACACTCCACACCTGGTGTGTGGGAGACCTATTGACTGCCAGATGCAAGGCGAGAGGCATTTTGTCTTTTGTCAAACCAAAGGTCAAACCATTAATAGATGGTCTTCACATAACCTCCTGATCAGATACCCCACTGAGTGACAACTTCCATGGATGTGTGTGTGTGTGTGGGGGGGGCACACAGCCGCCACCACCTCTGGGCCCCAGATCACCTTCAGAGGCAGCCAAGGGGAAACCAGCCCTCATCTTGTACCAGCAGAGCCAGGCCCGGGGAGGGCAATGGAGGACCCCGCGACCCACTAGCCAGTATTTCCCATTGCAGCCGACCAGGGGCTGGAAGCCTAAAGCTTTAGCTGATCCTGGTGTTTGTTCCGTGCTGAATCTGAATTTTATTTCTATATGCATTTGCATTTATATTGAATTTTATGTTTCTTCAGATGACAATCCCAGATGCTGGGTAAGCCAGGCGCCCTTGGCACGGTCTGGTCTCTGGCTCCGCTCCCTGTGGGGGTTGCATGGATGCCCTGCCTGGTCCCTACTGCACCGATCGCCCTGACAAGTCGCTGCATCTGCACACACCAATCCAGACAACGGTCAGACCTAGAGCACTTCCTTCTCACCCTCCTCTGCTGCTCACTGAGCGCCTACCCCCACAATGAAGACCTGCTTTAGGCACCGTCAGCATAGCTGCAGATCCCTCAGACACAGTGGGGCCAGGAGCAGGAGAGATACAATAAACAAGTCAACAAACACGTCATACAGCAGACGTCTGAGAACAGAGCAGGGGTTAAAAGCTATGGTGCTGCTTCACATAATGTGATCAGGAGCCCTGAGGGGACATTACTGTTGACATGCGTCACCTCGAAATTCCCATGTTGAAACCCTAACTCCTGGCACCTTAGAATGCGACTATATTTGGAGATAGGGCATTAAGAGGTGATGAAGCTAAAATGAAGTTGTTAGGGTGGGTCCTAATCCAGCATGACTAGTGCAATGTAAGAGATAAGGACACAGACCCACAGAGGGACCCACGTGAAGACACAGGGAGACTGCAGCCCCCTACGAGGAGAGAGGCCTCAGGAGAGACCAACCCTGCCGGCACCTTGATCTCGGACTTCCAGTCTCCAGAACCGTGAGGAAATAGATTTCTGTTGTACAAGCTGTCCAGACTAGCAGCCCTAGCAAACTGATACGAGGTCCAAGAGAGGAGAACCCCTTCCATTACTTCTTCTCCCTTTCCCCAAGGAGCTCGCATCTTCCACGTGGCTTATGCGAAGTGCCAAGCAATCTAATCTCACATTTTTAGCCAATCCGAAACAGAGCCGGACCAATAATGGATCAGTGGAGATCACGCGCCTCCTGATATGAGGCACTGAGGACATAGCATCACTGCTATGGTTTGTTTTGTTTTCACCAGAAACGCAGAACCTGAATCTACTCCTGAGGAAACATCAGACAAGCCCAAACTGGCCAGTACACTTCAAAAAAATGTCAAGGCTGTGGAAGACAAGCAAAGGCCAAGGAACTGGTACAGACTGAAAAAGATTAAAGACATGTGAAAACTGAGTCCATCTTGTGACCTCGGACTGGATCCTGAATCAGACAATGAAGGTGGCTATAAAGAACGTGATGGGGATGCCTGGGTGGCTCAGTCTGTTAAGCATCCGACTCTTGATTTCGGCTCAGGTCATGATCTCAGGGTCGTGAGATTGAGCCCCGTGTTGGGCTCTGCGCTCAAGTGTGGAGTCTGCTTGAGATTCTCTCTCCCTCTGCCCCTCCCACTCATGCTCTCTCTCTTAAATAAATAAATAAATCCTAAAAAAAAAAATAAAAGAATATTCTTTGGCTATATTCAATGTCCCAATGGCTAACTTGGGAGAAGTTTGCATACGGACTGCGTATAAGGTAACAGTGCCTCACCACTGTGAAAGTTCCTGAATGTGATCATTGTACGATGAGATTATGGAAGAGCTTGCCTTTGTTTTTAGCATATACACAATGAAGTATTTGGGGTAAAAGGGCAGATCTGCAAGTTATTTTCAAACTACTCAGTGCACATATGTGTGCATGCATGCACACGCGTATATAAAAATGAGAGAAGAAAAGATAAAACAAATTTGGCAAAATGTTACAAGTGGTGGCTCTGTCACATGGCAGTTCTTGAACTATTTGTGCACCTCTCTGGAAGTCTGAAATATTTAGAAAAACAAAAGAGCAGGCTGACAAAATTTCAGCCAGGAAGAGACCCCCAGAAGTGGCACATAACCTGTACGTTCCCGCAAGAAGGGGAGGCAAGCTACCAGACGCGGCTCACAAACCCTGGGGGAAAGGGAGGTGTGACGGCTGGGGTGACACTGGGTCGACCTCGCTGCACTGTCAGAAAGGGACGGGGGAGCCCCAGCACCCAGCTGGGCGGCGCACATGAACACTCTCCATGTGGTTCCTGGGGCGTGACTTCCCGAGGCAGCCCCACCTCTCTCCCTAGTCCTGCTGCAGCGTCTGACCCACAAAGGTAGTTCAAGGACACCGGGGAAACCAGAGGAAACTTCCCAAATTCTGGTGTTCATCAGACTATGAAAATTTGAAAGCGAAGTTTCTGAGTGATGTCAGAATGTTATTTGGGGAAGAGCGCTGGGTACAGTTTCTTCTCAACAACACGATTCTCCAATTCTCAGGAGGGCTGCAAGCTGAGCCAAATCTACTAGGTTTAAACCTGCTGACACTTGACACAGGAAGAAACAGGGGAAGGGGCACTTCAAAGATGAGGGGTCTGTACCAACATAGCCTCCTACTTCTCACTTGGGAATCTGAATAAAAAAAGTGAAAAGTTTCATATGTTTCTTGGATCTTCGCTCCAGCCTGGAGTCCAAGGTGTCTGCAGCCCAGGGCAGTGGAGAGAGGGGACCGCCAAGAGGAAGGCCACACCTTGGAGTGGAACGCTCAAACCCAGGTGTGAGCCAAGGCAAGGACTGGGTCTGGGCCAGCTGGAAGTCTGGGCAGCCCAGGGGGCTGTACTCTGCGTATTCGGAAGGGGCCTGCGACCCTGGGCCACCTCTACCCCTGGAGGCTGGTTTCCCTTGGAAGAGGGCAGGCTCTAGGGCAAAAGCATGTGTCCAGGGGGCCCGGACCCCCTGGACACAGGTTAGGGATCCTCAGAGGTAGAACCTCTGTCACAGGGGCCTGCCTGGCACCTGCCTTCAGTGACACTCCCAGGACAGCTCCTGGGCTCTCCTACCCAGACGCCCCTCTCCCACAACCTCTACTTGGAGAGACTGACCGGCTCCACACTTTAGACCTGCAAAGGAGGCGGGGGTTCCTTTCCACGCATGTTGGAAGACAGACGTCGATCGGACAGCTCTCTTTTGAGTTTTCTCCTTCCTCCTGCGGGTGCCTTAAATGTTTCCTCCTGTTGGACAAGTTTTAACTGACCCACATCTTGGTTAAAGAAGCACTTTAAAGAGCCAATCCCTGTCCCAGATGTGGCCTGGCCAGTGCCCAGGGGCCTGCCAACCTCTTTCATCTGATCGCTAGGTTTTATTGGTACCACTGACTTTTTAAAAGCCATATCCTTGGCTCCTCTTGGGTCCTGTGGTCAGCAAAGGGCCACAGAGGCCCCCTCACCTGCCTTCACAGTGGGCCCCTTCTGTCCAGAGAGGGTGCTTCCGCCTCTGGGACCTGAACCGGGACCCACAGCCACCTCTGCCAAAAAGATTCCTGGTCAGTACGGGCTCAATAAGGCCTTTCAGAAATTCTTATTCTGTCATCCAGCCAGCATCACCTGGGCCCTTCAGTTTTATGGCCCCTGAAGGCAGCAGGAAAAGCACTCTTTTTAGAGATAAGCCAAGATTACAGTCCCAGCAAGTGACCCACAGTGCCTCAATCTTCTCACCCCCACGGTGGTGAGGACAAGACCTGCCTTATACGGCTGTCTCAGCTCAGGTGAGATGGGCACCTGGGGGCCCTCTTGCGCCCTACCACTTGGGAGCCAGACCGCCTCTCATTGCGAGGCTGTGCCTGGGTCCGCACTCTGCAGTCACAAACCACCTGCCCGTAAGAACCAGTCTTGATTCCTACAAGGCATGAAGGTGTCACTGTCAAAGTCTCTCCTCCCCACGCCACTTAAAAAAAAAAAAAAATTCTCCAGGGGCACCTGGCCGGCTCAGTCGGTACAGTATGCGACTCTTGATCTTGGGGTCATGAGTTCAAGCCCCACGCTGGGTGTGGAGCCTACTTAAAATAAGGGCTCCATGTCCCAGAGCCCTCGGTGACACACGCCGGCAGGCAAGGGAGAGGCCTGACCCCTGCAGAGCCGCAAACTCCTGGGAGGCTGTCATGCACCTTTTCCGAGTCACTCACCAGCTTCTGGAAAAGATCCCCCACTCGCTGCTGGTGACTCCACTGCTGTACGCGGGGGAAGAGCCCGTCATAGAAGTCCTTGTGTATCTCGTAGAGCTCGGGCACCTTGAAGAAAATGGTCTCGATCTGCTGGCTTGTCAGCACTGGCTGAGAGGTGGTGGCCGCAGCCTTCAAAGGCTTCATGGGCTGGAAGAGGGCACAGGCGACAGGTGAGAGTGGCACGGATGAGAGGGCTCGCCATTTTTCAGGTGCATGGCCCGACCACAGAAAATCACGGTCATGTGACATACGTGCTTTTCTTCTAAAATTCCATTAAAAATAAAAATTTTAAGCCAGCTTGGTTTGGCATCCATCTTACGCTCGTGTCCACCACCCCATGGGGAGGTCCAGCTTCTACAGAGGTGGAATGACTCTCCAGGGAGGGTGGGCTGCCTTCGGACTGCTGCCCTGGGACCTGGGACTGCCCCTCCCCACCGCCGGGAGCAGAGTGCCCCTGCTCGGCTCAGCCCCTACCCCCTCCTCACCAGCAGTAGTGCCTCCAGGTGGCTCAGGTAAGTCTCCTCGCTCGCCAGGATTCCAGACAGGACCCATTTCCTCATCTCCAAGCCCTTTTCCAAGTCCAGCTCACTCTGGCCGGAGAAACAGACAAAGGTCAGCCCCGGGGGATGACGCCTGAGGTGGCCCTTCTCAGAGAGGAAGGCCTGCTTATTATCAACCTGAGGTCAAGCCTCTGGGGAAGGCTCCGTGTGGAAATAAAGGGGGGCACAGGAGCCTCGCCAAGTCAACCACTTGCTCATAGCCACTGTAAATTCTGGGGGGTCATCTAGCAAAGCCGAGGGCCACCCTTGGTCTGACAATAGGAAACGGACAGCATGAAGCTGAGCAGTCAGGGCAAGGCCACCCCCTGGTCTGTGGTTACAGCTGCCCCGTAAACTAACACAAATGCTGATGACAAGGGCAATGAAATCTGCGGTGTGACTCCCTGGCCACGCCCCCCACGTGCTCCCTGGCCACCAGCGAGGGAATCGGTATCAGAGATTGGCTGTGCCCATGGCCCGCCCATGTGCCAATGGGCCCCACTGTAGTCCACGGAGGAAAGCGGTGTAATACCCCTGCCCATTCTGCCACTGGTTTCCCACCTGTGGGTGAACATGAGCAACCACACTGTGACAGCCCTGGGGTGTAGAACCAGAGGGCTATCCCTGTGGTCCACTTCGCTGAACCACTCTCAGGGGAGATCACTGATCTGCGGCAGGCTCCTGGCCCTCGGCACTGCTGACATCTAGGGCTGGAGGATTCTCTTTTGGATGCCGGAGGCCTTGAGCAGCATTTCTGGTCTCCACCCAACAGATGCCAGGAGCAACACCCCCTCCTACCCCTGGCTGGGACGGCCACAAATGTCTGCAGATGTTGCTACATGTCCTCTGGGGCCAAGTCGCCCCTACGTGAGAACCACCGGGTTCCAGAAAGGACCTAAAGCCAGCTCAGGCCTCATGGTGTCTCTACAAAGCCTAGAATCAGGACCCCCCAGCATGGCCCCTCTGTGTGCCCCCGACCCTGCTGCCCTTTTCACTTCCCTGGACTGGCAGAAGGGAGGCACTTTATGGTATAGATTGCTGGTCTGGTGAGAAGCACCCAGGGCCAGGAGTTGGGGGACAGGGCCATGGAGCCAGGCTTGCCCGGTGAGTGCCACGGTCTTAGGCAACTGCCCTCCTGCTCTGAGCATCAGCTGCCTGAGTGTAAACTGGGGAAGGAAGGCCCGATCCCCATGTTCCATCTGCTTCTGCTTTCTGGGTCCCTGGGGCTTGTACCACATCCTCACTGCCCACTGGGACCATCCAAAAAGTCTTCCTGAACCACCACTTTGCTCTGGGAATCTCTTAGTGTGCATGAGCTAGGTGCATGCGTATATGGGTACATGGGTGCATGCCCAAGTGTGTATGTGTACTCATGCGTGTGTAGGGAGCGGCCACCATAATCATGGCTAAGCATCACTCCAGGGAAAGAACACTCAGGTCCCACCCCACATAGAACCCCCTCTCCCCCAGGGCACACTGGGCAGCGGCTCCACAGGCAGAGAGCTCCAGGTCATGCTGTGCCTGAGCTCGAAACTTCCTGTGCCAGCGTAGTGCCTGGAACACACAGGTGCTCTGTGAAGACACAATGAACCAACCAACCAACGAATACATCTAGAACTCCTGGTTGGGCCCTACTTTTGGCTGTGTCTTTGCAAAGCTCTGAGTGCTCCTTCTGGAAACCCTGTCTGTGTGACAAGCTGGTGCCAGGATCCAGAACTGTGAGCTTGGCCTGTGCCAGGGCCTGGGGTGCTACCACGGTCAGCAAGTCTACGGCACGCGGCGCACAGACATGCAGGGTAGGGGACCCTGATGCCTCCTCTCCTCTCAGCCCACTGAGGTCACACCAGGAATGGTGGCCGCGTGCTGGAGAAGCTCTCAGCTGACCCTGAATGTGCTTCCCATCGCCGTGTCCAGGGGCCATTTGTGCCCCAAGCGAGGGAAGATGTAAAGGTGAAGGGCACAGCAGGCTCCCCGGGGAGGTGCAGCCACCCACCCAGCCCTGCCGTGTCCTGAGGAACAATCCCGCTACTGTGAGCGCCGGGACACGGCAGAGCCCCACCCAGCACGAGATGCCGGTGCTCACGTGGGTGGCGGTGCGGCTCATTCCCACCCACACAATCTGGAAAGCTGGGAGGAAAAAGAGTGCAGGCAGGATGGCGCCAACTCCAGCCCTCCCTGTTCCGAAGGGCGCGGCCAGCTCCGGGGATCGTCTGGCCCGGGGAATGTGCTGGGCTGGGGGCTGACAGGGTCGGCTCAGAAGCAGCCAACTGCATCTTAAAGGAGAGGGTGGGAAAAAGACGCAGAAGATGAGGGAACAAAGGGCGGGGCTGGGGCCAGGGCTATTTATAACCCTGCTTTGCGCACATGCCAGTTCTGGAAAGGGCACGTGAATCCAGTCAGGGCCATGGTGGTAGGGAGATCTTGGTGGAGAGGAAGCCAGAGAAGGGCAACTGGAAAAAGGAGGCAGCCAGCCGGAAGGCAGGCCTCCTGCCTCTGCTGGGGAGGGGGCAGGTGGTAGCGAAGGGAACAAGCCACACAGACCTGAGGCCGAAAGAGTGGATAAAAACAAACTGGGCCTGACAAGGGGGTAAAGGCTGACAGAGGGACCCAGGGGAACAGAACCACCACCAGGCCCACGAGGGTGGGAGCTGGAACCGAGTGGCAGGACTATGGATGGCAGGGAACGCATTTTACCTCCAGCCCCAATCTGGGGGAGCCAGGGTGACCAGGGTATAAAAGCCCGGCTGTGAAGGGGTGGGCTGCTCCCAGCTGGGAGCTGGCAGCCAGTTTGCTGGACAAAGGACGCTGTCTTTCTCTCTGGGCAGGGGCCATGCCTTCACTGGCAACAGGGCTGGCCATCATCCCGGAGCCCAGACAGCAGAGGGCCAGGGGCCGGCCTCTGCATAAGGACCCGAGCTGGGGGGCTCCTGAACGGGGAGGACGCATCAGCCTCCTGGAGCAGACCTGTCTCAAGTTCAGGCCTCAGCCTACTTATTCAGGATCAGAAAGATCCCCATCTGTACCAGATCATGCTTGTGAAGCAGGAAGCAAGGGAGTGCACCGAGAAAGGCAAGGTAGTTAAAAGAGTGCCATCTGAGGACTCAGGAAGGCTTCAAATCTGGTAGCTGTGTGGCTTTGAGCAAGTAACTTCACCTCTCTGAACCTGTTTCCTAATCTGCAAAACAGCAAAACCAGATGTTGGGGAAAAGGCTGCACAAGGGGGACGCCTAGGTGGCTCAGTCGGTTAAGCGTCTGCCTTGGGCTCAGGTCATGATCTCAGGGTCCCGGGATTGGGCTCCCCTCTCAGCAGGGAGTCTGCTTCTCGCTCTCCCTCTGCCCCTCGCACCACTTGTGCTCTCTGTTTCTAGCTCTCAAATAAATAAATAAAATCTTAAAAAAAAAAAGTTGCATGAGGCAGGTATGTGTATGTGTTACACACGGGCTTCCCTCCCAACCTCACATTTCAGAATGAGAAGCCTGCCCAGCACCAGGGTCTTCAGAAATCACAAAAGCATAAATAAGAAGCAATCCCGCAGCGAAGGCACCAGCCCAGCAGAGAAGAAACCACAGTGAAAAGATATACTTCCCGCACTTCCTACCAACAATGGAGAAAAGCAGGTACCTCTCTTGTTTTAAACCTGGAGGGAACATCACCAGAAACAAGCAAAAGAGGGAAGGTATCTGTCATGCTCCAAAGTGGAGGTGACAGCAGGATTGTTAATGACAATGAGACTTCAAGGGGAAGACCCTGGTCAAAGGGATGGAGTCATCAGCAGCACCCCTTCTGCTATGGAGGAGCAAGTGCATTGCGTGCAGTGCAGGGACAGAAGCCCAGACACTGCCCCCTCCTCCGCCCCTCAGCACCACTGCGGGGGCCGCCACCATGTCCAGCTGGTAGGCTGGTGGTGGCATTCTCAGCCTCAGTATGTGTTACCTGCCTCCTCCACGCTCAGCGGGCGGTTCCATCATCTCCCTGCTCCAAGCACCTAGAAGGCTGTCTCCGGACCAGCAGGTGCACACCAGATGGGGGAATGACGAAGGCGTTTTGGTGACTTCAACCACTGGTTGCTCCTGGTATCACCTACTTGCTACTTACCCCTGAGAGAGTGGATGTGCTTCAGGGTGCCTTCACGAAAGGGACAGCAGGCCAGAGCCAAGCCCAAGCCCCCTTTCACGCCTGGCCCTACCACCCTGGGACTCACCACTTTGGTGGACTCCAGGGCTCCTGAGGCCAGTGCGTCCCGGCTGCCCCTGCCCTTGCTTCCAAGGTGGGGTGATGAAGAGGGCGAGTCATCGATGTAGGGCAGCCCATCCTGGTGCTGGCGCTGCTCCTCAGCCCGGTCTGCAGCACAGCTGTACCCAGGTGGCGTTCCAAACGACGCATCTGTGTGTGTGCAGAAGCAGCTGTGTTAGAGACAGGGAGGGGGGCTGGAGGGCCAGCCGCCTGGGAGGTCCACACCCCACCTGTCCCAGCAGGCACTCGGCTGATGATGCCTGTCACCCAAAGGTGTTGAACAAGGACCTCAGGTAGGCTGACCTCACCTGGTTCTAACCTTCACAATCAGCTGAGCAAAGACCAAAGGTCAGGTAGGGCCAAAAGAGTGGCACACTCCCCAGACGATGAGACTAGGCTTGCAAGGACACTGTCTGGGGCACATCTGTGCTTGTCCCAGGGGTGGGCCTGAGCTGCTACAGAAAGATGGACCCCAAATGCTAGCTAGCATCTTGCTATCAGGGATGGTCCTTGTGCACCTGTCCATGGGGATCTGATGGGGCGAAGAGCACAGATGATGCCAGTTCAAGCGTAAGCCCCGGCCACCGTGAGCAGTGCCCCAGGCCTGCCAGGCCCAACCCAGGGAAAGGGCACTGTAGCCCCTTCCTCTCACTCCACCCTGGTCCCTTGGCTGACTCTCAGCCCACTTCCCATCTGGTCTGGCAAAATCCCAGACCACAGGGGCGCCTGGGTGGCTCAGTCGTTAAGCGTCTGCCTTCGGTTCAGGTCATGATCCCAGGGTCCTGGGATCGAGCCCCGCATCGGGCTCCCTGCTTGGCGGGAAGCCTGCTTCTCCCTCTCCCACTCCCCCTGCTTGTGTTCCCTCTCGCTGTGTCTCTGTCAAAAAAATAAATACAATCTTTAAAAAAAAAAAAGATCCTAGACCACCTTTACCCCAGTTTGAGTATCCCTGTGAGGACAGAGTGGCCTACCCTACAGCCAGCTCCCTGCTGTTCAGGGCAATCTATTATAGAGGAGAACCCCTCCATCCTAAAGGCACCTGAAGACAATTGCCCTTCCTCCCTGGTTAAATCACAAAGCCCATACCCCTTCGCCTGCCTTTCTTTACTTTCTTTTTAATTTTTTAAAAAATATATTTATTTGAGATAGAGAGAGAGAGAGAGCATGAGCGGCAGTGGGAGGAACCTGATCTGGGATTCAATCCCAAGACCCTGGGATCATGACCTGAGCCGAAGGCGGACGCTTAACTGACTGAGCCACGCAGACGTCCCTCATCTGCCTTTCTGTAGCTCTGTTTTCAGAACTGTTCTAATTCAGTGGATCCTCACCAAGACATTAACCCACAAGGGCCCAGTCTGCTCCAAGCCTCGTGTGAGGGTCACTTCTTAACTGCTTCCAAAGGGTGCCTTCACAGCCCATGGGATTTCCGAGAGGTCATCTTGACTGGGTTACGTCACCTTCACCACGACTCACCAGCAACCAGCCTTGTCCAAACGTCACCACCACAGGTGGCCTCTGCAGTGTTTTGGTACCGCTTTCTGACAAGCATACCCAGTCTGGGGCTCAAGCTCCAGGTCCTGGTGGCACCCATACCACCTGGGCCAGGCAGGCACAGGCTTCCAGAGGCGACCCAGCAATTCTAGAGGGGGACTGTTTCCAGTTCTTTCCACGCGGCAGCGAGAGGTGCCATGGCTGGAGTGACCAGGTGCCCACCACAGCCGGCTCTGAGGGCTGCCAGTGCCCGGTGCGACTCATCCACCCACACCCCAGCTTCCTCACACCTCTGCCTCTCCCACATCCTCCACGTCCGGAGGCCAGCAGGTCACATGCCCTCTCACAGGTGTCCTTAGCCCTGGCTACATGTTAGTGCCACCTGGGGAGCTTCAAAAACGAGAGAGACCCACGGAATGAGACACTCAGGGAGGTCTGGGCCCTGGTGGCTGCAAAGGCTTCCCAGGGGTTCCGGCAGGAAGCAGGGCTGAGCCTGCTGCACTAGCAGGAGCTGACGCCTGGCACCGTGCTGTCCTGCTGACCCACACTGCGTCCCTGCTGTCCCCATACAGGCTCGGCTGCGCTCTGCTGCTGTGTGTATCCACAGGAGGGCCCCAGCAGAGGCCAGCAGACAGGCTGGGGGACCCTCAGAGCTGGGGGGGCTCCTACCCTGTCCCCTAACAAGCTGTACTGAGGTCCCCTGGTCTCCCTAATCCGGGCTACCTTGGGGGCTCCTGGTACCATCACCATGTGGGCTATCAATGCTCAGCCCTGCTGGGGTTTGCACTGTCCTACCAGGACAGTCAGAAGCCAAGGCCAAGTTGTGTCTCTTCTCCTAGGCATCTGTAAAGGCATTCAACTAGCTCTTGCCCAGCATCCCTGAGGACAGATGGGGGGGGGGGTTTAAATGTATTAAAAAGCACAAACCCTGTTCATACAGAACTCTAGCCCCAGATTCCATCCCCAAAACAGGTCTCACTTCAGCGTCCACTTCCTTTTGGGGGAATCACAGATTTTTTTTTTTTTTTAAGATTTTTTATTTATTTACTTGACAGAGAGAGACACAGCGAGAGAGGAAACATAAGCAGGGAGAGTGGGAGAGGGAGAAGCAGGTGCCCCGCGGAGCAGGGAGCCGGATGCGGGGCTCGATCCCAGGACCCTGGGACCATGACCCGAGACGGAGGCAGAAGCTTAATGACTGAGCCACCCAGGCGCCCCAGATTTTTTTTTTTTTAAACCAAAGTGAACACAGAGGACTTCCTGTTCACTCAACATCCATGATATGAACCTTGTATCATAGCAGCCCCTACTGAAAACTTGCCCTTCATGGGAGCTGCTTCCAAGGGCAGTCCAGGCCCTGGACAGAAGACTTTGGCTGCCAGATGCCTTCCTCACAGGTAGTCTGAATGATCCCCCTGGGCCACGGGGGTCGTTACTCTTATTTCTGCAACCCAGGACACGTCCTCGGTGGCGGGGGGCAGGTGGGCCCGTTCTACAAGCTGTGGTGTGAATTTCCCAGAAGTGAGGCTCTGGTCCTGTCCAGGTTGCTACAGACCTGTGAGAATTAGTGCAGGTCACTTAAGGTGTCCGTGTCTCCATTTTCCTGACTTTATAAACAGGTGTGTGGGCTGAACTAAATGGATGGAGGCTGGCTCCATTATGTCATTGTGAAGGTCAGCCAGCCAAGCCCTGCCTACCTCCCGACCTCACCTCCTTCAACAGCTTCCTTCCTCTGCTTCCCACTTCTCTGGACCTGACTTTTACCTTAGCTCAGAATTTTCACTGCCCACACAGCTTCCCTAAGAAACTTTAAACTATTCATACCTATGACTACACTGACCTCGTGTCCCAGGTCAAATTAATACCAAGTGATGCCCCAAGTAAGAACTTTAGGGTCAGACTCGGGGGCCCAGGGCTCACTCCAAATACTGCAAGAGTCCACACTGGCAAAACGAAGTGCTAGCTTAGTAACATCCTGATTAAAACCCCATGCAAAACCAACTGCCTGGTGCAGGTTTGCCGGCCAGGGTTGTGTGGGGCCACTGACTGTGAGGTGGACACTTCACCTCCACCAGGTTGAGACTGAGAAACCAGATTCCACAGCCGGACCCAACGGGGTAACTATGAGGATCAGGACAACTCAGAACCCAGCCGTTTCCCACTCTGACACATCTCCCCAAACTGATGTCTGAGGAATTGACGCTTTTAAGTCTGGGTTCCGGATGGCTGGTCACTGCTGGGCTACATTCCATGGGGGGCTTCAGCCCATTGTCCCAGCTAATCCAGAACCCTCAGCCTGCTCCAATGCAAATGTGACAGGCGAGGAGGAAAGCCTCCTTTCCTAAGCGGCACACGGGGACCTTTCTCTCACACTGCAGTTTTTCCCTCCTGGGGTCCCCATACCTCCTCAAGCATCAGGTATATTCCTGGGGGGCTTTGGGAGCTGCCATTTCCCCAGAACCAGAGCAAAGTGGGAGAGGGGCCTTGCTCTCCCTTCTTCTATCAGGAATATCCAGTGGCAAAACCTCTCTGGGTCTCATTGCCTCGAAGGACTGGGCACCTGGTGGCCGAGTTAAGCCTGGTGCTTCCTGCAAAGTTATACCCAAACTGAAAGCAAATACTGGTTTCAGAGGGGGTGGGCCTGCGATCCCACAGCTACAAGAGGCTCAGGGAATGAGGGCTCATCTACAGAGCAGCTAACCAGCAGGGAGGAGGGCGGGGGGAACGAGGCCCATCAAGAGCTGGCAGACAGCGGCTGGCTTATCATGGAAAAGGGACGTGCACAGTGAAATCCAAAACCTCCTCCTCTCCATGCCAGTCGGCTTAGCAGCTACAATCCCAGCACTCTGCGAATCTAAAATCTAGTCTAATCTTTGATGCAAGGAAAAAAGGGAGCCACCCCCATCCCTGCCAAGTGGGATGAAAAAGTCCCCGTCATCCCAGATCACATCCACTTCTCACACCTCAAGGACGATACTGGTTAAAAAAAAATTCAGGGACGCCTGGGTGGCTCAGTCAGTTAAGCCTCTGCCTTCGGCTCGGGTCATGATCCCAGGGTCCTGGGATCGAGTCCCACATCGGGCTCCTTGCTCAGCAAGGAGCCTGCTTCTCCCTCTGTCTGCCTCTGTCTCTCTCTCTGATAAATAAATAAAATCTTAAAAAAAAAAAAAATTCCTCGGGGCACCTGGGTGGCTCAGTTGGTTGGGCGTCTGCCTTTGGCTCGGGTCATGGTCCCAGGATCCTGGGATCGAGTCCTGCATCGGGCTCCCTGCTCAGTGGGGAGCCTGCTTCTCCCTCTCTCTCTCTGCCCCTCCCCCCGCTCATGCTCACCCACTTGCATTCCCTCTCTTTCTCAAGTAAATAAATAAAATCTTTTTAAAAAGTCCCTTAAAAAATTAAATGTAGAAGTACTATATGATCAAGTAATTCCACGTCTGGATATACACTTAAAAGAACTCAAAGCAGGAACTCAAACAGATACTTGCACACCCATGTTCCTAGCAACATCATTCACAATAGCCAAACTATGGAAACAACTCAAGTATCCACTGACGGATGAATGGAAAAGCAAAATGTGGTATGGATATACAATGGAATATAACTTAGCCTTAAAATGCAAGGCAATTCTGACACATGCTATCACATGGATGAGCCTTGAG